GAGTTTGGAAGTGCCTTGATAAAGCGCAGCTGTGAAGGATGCAAGCGCTGTGGAGCCTTCTCTTAGAAGTTCTGGGTTGGTCTGACCGGGCTACAGTTAGGTAATTACAGGTTGCAAATGGCCGGGGCATTCATATGCAAAAGCCTCTGCCACAGCCGGGGTGGTGCGGGGTCTCAAAGAATCAAAGGGCGGAGCAAGCAGCTATGGCAGATCCTCAGCCCTGCCCTAAGGAGTCGCGAGTCTAAGTGTCCCAGGCTGCAAGCACCTCTGAGGGAAAGCCGCCCTCAAGATAGCCCGCTGCCAGACAGTCCCGTTTCTCCCCGTGTGAGTCCTGGGTCCCCAGAGACTTCCCAGAACCGGAGATCAGAGCCGACTGGAGCTTGTGACTCCCTCCGGATTCGAAAAGACAGCCGCGTCCTCAGGTGCCAGACCCTTTCCACGTGCGCGAGCCCCCTACCTCTGCACTTTACTTCCGCAGCTCCTCTGGCTCTCAGTGTGCTTTTCTTTCCTTCTAGTTGTAGAATTTACACTCAGCCAGCCTTCCTGTAGTTCTGGATGATGTCCGTTTTGTGTTTTTGATGTATTTTTCAATTGTTGTGGGAGGCAGCAATTTCCCGGTGTTTATCTATGCCGCCATCTTAGTTTCTCCTATGTATCTCTTTTTTAAAAAAAACAAAAACAAAAACTTTATTGATTTCAGAGAGAGGAAGGGAGGGGGAGAGAGAGATTAAAACATCAACTATGAGAGAGAATCGATTGGCTGCCTCCTGCATGCCCCTATTGGGGATCAAGCCAGCAACCAGGGTATATGCTTTGACCAGGAATCGAACCAGTGACCTCTTGATTCTTGGGTCAATACTCAACCACCGAGCCATATCTGGTTGAGCAGAGATTTATCTCTTTTTCAAATTGAACCTAGATATTGTTTTATTTTTATATTATTCTCAGAGCTGCCTAAATTTGTGTTATTCTGACAATTCAAACCTTAAACAATAAAAGTTAGTTTCTTGGAGTGAATATTTCCTGTTGGTCAGCTTAGAGCAGGTGGAATTTAACTGGTTGAATTAAAAACAGGTAGGCACTGTCTTTGATGTCACTTTCCATCTGGCTCCTGTGTAAAACACTAAGTCCACATCATTTGAGAATGCACCCCAGGGCAGGGAGTCCATAGAGGTGACACAGTGGCCATCATTGCCTGGAGCCAGCTCTAATCTTCCCTAAATTATGCCTGTGACTCACTGGTATAACCCTTCAATGGCTCACAGGTCCTATTGAATATGGATAGTCTCATTAGCTAGATATGCTAGCCGGAGCTCCCACAGCCAGTGCCAGCTTGCTTTGTTAGTCTCGTTTCTTCTTTCCTCGGGCAAACCAAACGGTTCCACGTGCCCAGCCAGTCCCTGTGCCCTTATATAGCACACTGCCTCTATTGCCTTTTCCACACCACCTCCCCTCCGCCCAATGTCAATGTTCAAATCTCTCTTCTTTTTAGAGCCAAATAAAAGCTGTCTCTTCCAAGGACAGTGACCTCATTTCACCAAGAAATAACCTCTACCACCTCTGGAGCTTCATCTCTGCGATGGCTCTTATTTTCTGCTTTGTCTTATTACCATCTGACTACTAAACTTATTTCTACTTTCCAGATGATCAAGTTTTCCTGACTGCAGCTCTTAAGTGTCTTGGTGTTCTGTGGTGCAGAACTTACTGCTTTGCAGATAGGTAGTTGGTAGGATAGTAGGTGCAGGATCAGTACATAGTTTGCAGTGCTCAGTGCAAACTAAAAATCCAGGGCTCCGCCGAAACCGGTTTGGCTCAGTGGATAGAGCGTCGGCCTGCAGTCCCGGGTTCGATTCCGGTCAAGGGCATGTACCTGGGTTGCGGGCACATCCCCAGTAGGAGATGTGCAAGAGGCAGCTGATCGATGTTTCTCTCTCATCGATGTTTCTAACTCTCTATCTCTCTCCCTTCCTCTCTGTAAAAAATCAATAAAATATATTTAAAAAGAAAATCCAGGGCTCCTTTTTTCAAATTTTTTTAAAAAT